TTTCGGGCCCAGACCCAGGCTCGGGCTTCGGGCTTTTTATGAGGGCCGGGCTCGGGCCTTAAAAAAAWTTGTTAATACACAGTAAAAGCCCGGCCCGAGCCCGGTCCGGCCCGGCCCATGAACAGGTCTAGTTAAAACCATATTGTTTCTTAAAACAAAAAACACAAACATGTTCTTGATTGTGTGTGTTTTCTGTTTTCAAAATTGAAACCAAAAACATGTTCTTGAATATGATTTCAAAAACATGTTTTCATTTGATTATTTAACATCATGCTCCATAAAACATATAACTTCAATACTAAAAAAGTTGTTTTTATTTTAAAAACCAACATTTTGTTGGTTGCAAAAACATGTACTGTTTTTTTAAATTAACTTGTTCTTCCCTTTGAAAACAAAAACAAAATTCAAGAACATGTTTTTTTTTTTTTTGTTGATGTAATGATTTCAAAAACAAATGAAAGCAAAAGCTATGTTTAGATAGACTTCTACTTTTGTACTTTTAATAGTACCAAAGTACAAGGTACATAAACTGCTTTTACTTTGGTATTTTTGTTGTGAAACCGTTTGGGTAAAAAAATTGTAAAATATGTTTTACAAAACAGAAAAAACATTTGTCGTTTTTGGTTTCGTGGGTGTTTATTCAATAACCGCTGTCACATAGGTGCCACTTCAGCAGTTTCTCTCTTTTGCTCTTCCGTACGCATCGAGAATGACAAAAGTGGACTTCGATTTTTGTGCACGTTAACCATTTGTGGAAGTTGTTTTTTAAAGCTTCCACAAATGGTCATGCATTTTTCATTGTTGCGTCGATGCGAAGCCTAGTGGTGCCTAGTTGTCATAAATAGCTATAATTATTATCTTTCTCGGTTTTGCAAGCAAATAAAATACAAACGTTGAATGAAAAAAATGTAAACGGAACCAAACACATAGTAATAGTCATGTAATTCAACTGATCTTATACGTGGTAAATACCACAGTACCCATGATTAGCCACCTGTATACATTGAATAGGCATACATAGGCTATATGTACATATCATGCATGTACGTTATTTTTACAAGTGGCAACCACTAAAAATTGACATTTGACATACACCTACTAATTAATGACACGTGACAGTCACTACATTAACTATATATAATTAATGAAAACATTAACAACCATATAAAGATATAGTAACAACTAATCATCCATATTGGCATAAGACATTTGTCTCCAACATTATAACAAACAATAGTTTAGAAGCTAACCACTTACCACTCACCAATTGGGTGAAGGGGGGGGGGGGGGTTTGGGTTTTGGTCCCCCCTATGAATTTTAGTCAAATCTAGTGGTACGCATACTGCTAATTATTGTGTAAATTTTGTTTTTTCTTTCACAAAATAAAAGAAAAAGCAAAAATAAAATAAAAAATAAAACTAAAACTACCCACTTATAATATATTAAAACTAAAGAAGCTTAAGAAATAAAAATACTTTAAAAACTAAAGGAAGCATCATTATCGAATATAATTCGATATGAAAGCTCATTTTTCAAATATCGTTCGATCTCATCGCTAAAAGGATATTGTGACAGTGAAGCATCATTATTGAATATATATATTTACATTTGCTATAGATCATCAATTGTAAGAGTTAAATAGTTGATTCAGTGAACAAGCAACAAAACTTCTTATTTTGAGTACAACTTTGGATTTTAGGGATGCTCATAAATCCTTCAAAGTTGATGATATATATAATTTGATTGAGAAGTTTTATCCTTTATATTTTTTTTATTAAGAAAAAAATCAATTGAGATATCAATTGCAACACTATAAGCTTAATGTGCCCAATCATCCAAATTTGCAGAATTTGTCCATCATTGGTGATTTATGTTGATGATTGGTGAAAACTAAAAAGTCAAAAGTTGATCCTTTAATTGATAGATTGATTTTACTTATTTTGACTATTCCCGTTTCAACAGCAACTACTGAGTAGACTTTTTTAGCCATGAAAATTGTTAAAAGTAGGCTTTGCAATAAAATGAAAGATGATTTTCTCACAGATTATTTGATTGTATACATTGAGAAGGAAATTGTTGAAAGTTTCACGGTAGACATGATTATTGATAAAAAAGTGACGAACCCAACTTAAAAAGTGAAGAGGTTTTTTTTTTTTTTTTTGTATTCATTATACTCTTAGTCTTTCATGATAGAATATATAAATTATTTAGATACCTAATTATGTATTTTATAATTGATAAATAATAGAATTCATTATGATATATATAATCATGCATTAAATTTAATTGGATTGGTATTTTATAATCATATTTAAGTAATCATGTATTAAATTTAATTATGCATTCCTATTAAGGTGGGAGGGATGCCCAACTAGTGCTCATTTTTCTTCTAATTAATATATATATAGAGTAACAAACAAACATACATTATATTTTGGATGAAAGATAGAAACATAACACAAACAAAAAAAAAAAAAGAAAAATAACGAATTTGTACTTAACTAGTTACTTTCAGCTTTTGCAATAAATAACATCAAATGATAGGAAAAAAATGTGATTAGTAGTTTGTATTGAGTATGGATTCCCATGAATCATCTTTTTCCACCAAATAAGAACTCATACAGATCAACATAAACAATAAGCATTCATATCATGCATGTATCTACAATAAAAGTTTAGCATTAAGGGATGTATACATTAGGAAAAAGAAAGTATGCATTAAGTTGTATGTGTGATTGTAGGAAGTTTGATGCACATAAGTCATTATGCATGGGCAGATTATAGACATTTAGTTGCATTCATATGCATAGGCATTGAGAAATGTATACATAAGGAAAAACAAGATATACATTCAATTGAATCCATAATTGTAGGAATTCTAATGCACAATCGTCATTAACAATAGTAGATCATAGACATTCACTTGCATTCATATACATAGGCATTGTGTAAGTGGCATTTAACCATATAACAAGCACTAATAGTGGAATATTTAGTGGGTGGCTGCAATAGTATAAGATAAGAATGATATGAACCCCCACATATACTGGTTCTGTAATGGAAACAAATACATTCATATTTTGACTCAAACAACATAACTCTAACCACAATGGCTCTTGTTTATTGTATAGGAAACCATGAAAAACTATAACCACAAAAAAATGCATAAAACCATGATCTTGTTCATTGTATAAGAAAGGGAATGGCATAGGAAAATAACAGATAGTATAACAGTGCAGTTGTTAAGTAATGGGAATGCCAAAAACAGGGGAATCACAATTCGTTGAAGACAGGTTGTTAAAACAAGTTTCATGACTAGTTTTGAACAAGTAGAATGCATAGCTATAACAATCCATTAAACAAGCAATAAACATTCCCATAATTAATTTTGAGCAGCGGTCAACAGTGGTGACTTCGGTGGAGACGAGCCATTGAATAGTGGAGCAAATGGAGAAAAAGCATTAAAAAAGGGGAAAAGATGAAACTGGAATTCATACCTTTGATTTCGACGAAGAAGTAGCAGTGTTGTTGCCAACAGACTGTATTTCCGGTGGTGATTCCTGGTGGCAGTTGGTGGTCAAAGATAGGTGCCGACTATTTCCGGTGGCGATTCCTGGTGGCAATTGGTGGTCAAAGATAGGTGATGACGGAACAAGAACCTACAACGACAAGAAGGTATAGGACTTGAAGACAGGCAAATGGGAAGAATTCGGTCAAAGGATTTGATGGAAGGGGTGATCACACGTGACTACTATTGGCACGAAATGAAAGCACAATTACCAATTTAGCCAAAAGCACGAAGTAATAAAAATAATTTGACAGCCTATCGCCGTTCCCGTTTATCGATTGGAAGGGCAATTTCGTACATATATATTTTTTCTTGCATCGGCGGTTCCTTTATTTTGGCCTCTTCCAAACCCTAACCTTCTCTTCAATCTCTCTCCCTCGTTCGCTCTCACGTAGGGATAGTGAGGGGTCTTCTTCTTTCTGTTATTGTTTTTCATTTTTTCCACTCTTCTTTTTTTCTATTTTTTCTCCTGCAGACGCTTGAAACTCTCTAACCTAAGTTAATCTCTTTCGGATTCGAAGGTGAAGTCTTCAAAAACTCATGGAGGTGTTCAAACCCTAAGTTGTTTTGGGGATTCAAATTCTAACCTAATCTCTTTTATCAGAAATGGGAGAGGTAAGGGAGAACGATGCTTACGAGGAAGAGCTTCTCGATTACGAAGAAGAGGAAGAGAAGGCCCCTGATTCCGTCGCGGCGAAGGGTACCGGCGAAGCAGCAAAGAAGTAAGTTTTATCTACTTTTTTCTTCTTTGGTGATTTCGCTTCTTCATTTGTCTTCTTCTTCCTTATGTTTTAAATTGTTTCTTTCGGGAAGTTGGGATTTTTTTTTTTTTTTTAAAATTTAGCACTAGATCTTATGAGTTTTGGTTTTTTAGCAATTCTGGACTTGATTATGCTATTTATTTCTCTTGGCGTTTTTCTTATTTACTGTTGAGCTTCTTAATTCACATGGAATTTTCCTTTTTTCCTCAGTGACAATTTGTTCTTTGTTTTTTTTGATGTGTGATTTGTTTGTTTTTTCGATTTTTGGGGTGGCTTTTTCCGTTTTTTGGTAGGAAATGTTCCAGAATTCGTCCGTTTATAGTTTCAACTACTGTTCTGATTGGTTCCTTGGAATATATTTCTGGTGCCCTTTTGCTCGTCCTTTTTTTTGCTTGTAGATGTTATTCCATTTCACTGTTAATTTTCTTAAAAGCCTTATTTTCCATGGCAATTACGCGGTGCATTTCAGTTGAAAGCGTTCGGTTGTCAAATTTCTTATTTTTGGATTGTGGGTTGCAGTTGTGTAGTGTTTCATTGTGATTCAGCAATTTGCCATTATAACCTGCGAATTTTGATTTTCCTGTTATGTCTATTTGTTGGTATAAATGGGCTTTGCTTTAAAAATGCTGAAGCATAACTCCATAAGGCAAGGTTTGCCACTTACACAAGCATGTCATTGTAGAACATGTTTTTACATCTGTGATTCTTCTTTGTAGTATAAGACGTTAGTTGATGCCCTTGTATAGAGTACGACGCTTGAGTTGTGAGCCTCTTCAGTTCCAGTGTTAAATGCTCAGATTTACTTGACACCGCCTTTTGAGCTTGCACCTCACCTTTAAGAAAATGATATGTGCTAACATGGTGGGAGCAATTTTAAAATTTAGTTTTGATTTTTCCTGCTTTAATTGGTAACATAAATTGATCCCCTAACTTCTGTACCTCTGTTATATAGGGGCTATGTTGGAATTCACAGTTCAGGGTTCAGAGATTTCCTTTTGAAGCCAGAGCTTCTTCGAGCTATTGTGGATTCAGGGTTTGAGCATCCTTCAGAAGGCAGGTTCTTAATTATCTCTTTATGCAACTAGAAAATCATTTAGATGTATATTGGTAAGATTAACTTTGTCTTGTAAAACTAAAACATGGTGCAGAATGATCTCACAAATAGAATGAGATAACTAAATTTAGTTAAAGTTATGGTTCTACAAGCTCTTAATTATAGTTTCACAAAAAAGCTGAGTAAAATAATATTAAAGAAATGAAAGAGAGGTGCTTAAAGGAACATGTGAAAGGTTTGGTTGTTATTCCATCCTTACGTTGAGGTCATGAAAGAGTTGATATTGTGGAATAGAAGGTTCAATTGAGTAGAATGTATATTTTCTTCAGTAATGTGGAAAATCAATATTTGTATTGAAGATATCTTCTGGTTTCCAAAAAAACTGAGTAGAATAATATTAAAGAAATGAAAGAGACGGAATGCTTAAAGGAGAATGTGTAAGGTTTGGTTGTTTAATTCCATCATTGGATTGAGGTCATGAAGGAGGTTTTATTGTACAATAGAGGTTGAGTTGAGAAGAGTGCTTATTTTCTGTGGTAATGTGGAAAGTTGGTCTTTATATGGAAGCTATCTTCTGTTCTTTTTCTTTTCGCTTTTGATTTTTCCTTGGAAGTGCTTGGGTGATAAGAGAAAGTGAAGGCCCAATATAAAGAAAGGAATAGAAGGGAAATCTAAAATATATTTTCCTTGGAAGTGCTTTTGATTTTTCCTTTTTACTTATCCTCTTTGAACTGGGATTGGGCCTTGTTTTTGGTCTAGTGATAATGTTCCTTTAAGCTTGGATCAAATGCAGGAGCAACCATTAGTTAACATGCTTATGAAATGGTTGAAAGGATCTCTAACACCTCACACACTCGACATAGATAAAGTACATGTCACTAAACTCCCTAGTTTGGTGGTAATCCATGGGATCAACAGGGTGTTTTTTTTTTTTCATATATTGGGATTCCTTTTTGGTATGGTTTGGACAGTATGTCATGGTGCTATCCTATAGGGATCCACACATAATGAATGTAATGCGGGCCTTTTGCATATATACCTGCCATGTCTATAACTAATCAGGAGTTATGATACCTACTATACATGCCTTGTGTACCTGTGTCAGATATGATACTGGATATYGGATGGGCACTTGTAGATGCACTTGTAGCATTGTTAGTACTAAAGTATGTAAGATGGTATGCTTTAACACGTTATACTATAAAAAAATTTGCACATGTTAGAACGTTCAATTAAATTTGGCAAGGTGCAAGTCTTGGAGAATGACAATTAACTTCAAAAATTAGATTTAAACACATGATATGAGGATTTCACATGCAGTACCTGTTATCTGTATCTATGTTCCAAGATTTTAAGAAATGGAGAGTTGTTTCCCTGTTTACTTCATCTGTTTCCATTCTGTATCTGTATCTGGGCATCATAGACTGGAAGGAAATACTGAATTTCAACGACTTGGTGACTTCCTTGAGTTCATCAAAGCATCTCTTACAGCTAACGACTGGCATATATGTTTCTGCATCTTTCTTAATGTGCATCAACCATACCAGATATGGAAAATATTTTCTGCATTACATGTTACAAGTCATTCCTCTAATTGTTAGATTTGAAAAATATTCTTTTTATTTTTGCTTCCTGATTACATACAAAATTTAATTTGTTTGATTCATCTGGCTTTGTTCCTTAAGCTTCAATAATGGGACTATAAGACTATTCTCTTCATGTACTGCATCATGTCTGCAATGAATTTCATGTATACAGCACCGACAATTTCTACTTTTAATTAGACTAATGTTGCACTAAGTTGCACCCTCATATTTTGTGACACATTTATTAACTGTTTTTTTTTTTTTTTTGATTGATGCACATTTGCTAACTGTTCTGACCAAGGTAATGATACCTGTTTGCGGTTCATTTACCAATAAAAGGTGATGAAAACAAATATGGAATTCTTTATTGTCTTGTCTGGGCTAATTCCCCATTGGAAGCTGTTAAACAACTCAGATACCTGTCTAATTATTTTTCTGTATTTGTGAGTCATCTTTGTCTTGTTAATGAAATACTTCAGTGTAATGTCTCTTTGTTAAGATGCTTCATTTTAGATTCAGTTTTCCCATTTTTTTTCTCTGCACAACTTGTAGGATCCTCTGATTTGTATGGTTGACGATTTTCAGGTAACACTGCTTTCATACTCTTGATTTCAGAAGAGAAAACTGCTTTGGTAAACCTTTTATTAAAAGGATCTGGAAGGACATTTTTTACTTACTGAGAGTTCCAACTCCAATTTTATTTGGTTCTTCATCAGTGCAACATGAGTGCATCCCTCAGGCCATTTTGGGAATGGATGTCATCTGCCAGGCCAAGTCTGGGATGGGAAAAACTGCTGTTTTTGTTCTATCTACTCTGCAGCAGATCGAGCCTGTTGCTGGCCAAGTTGCTGCACTTGTTTTATGCCACACAAGAGAATTAGCATACCAGGTTGGTTGTAATACATGGTTCTTCATTTTGATGTGTATTTATTGGTTTGCTTTTTCATAGCTAAATTACTGTTTATAGTCACTATATTGTTTGTTAATACTTTGCATTTATACTTGTTGGCTACTTACTCCAGATCTGTCATGAATTTGAGCGATTCAGTACCTACTTGCCTGATATTAAGGTTGCTGTTTTTTATGGTGGTGTAAATATCAAAACTCACAAGGATTTACTTAAAAATGAGTGTCCTCACATTGTTGTTGGAACACCGGGGAGGATATTGGCACTAGCAAGAGATAAGGACCTTGCATTAAAGAATGTGAGGCATTTTATCCTTGATGAGTGTGACAAGATGCTTGAGTCATTAGGTATGTTTTTTACTTTCTCAAGTTTTGAACTTCAGTAATTATGGATAATCTTATATCTCATTTATGCTGCTGATCTCATTTAATGGATGTACATATTCTGCAGACATGCGGAGAGATGTACAGGAGATTTTCAAGATGACTCCTCATGATAAGCAAGTTATGATGTTTTCTGCAACACTCAGCAAAGAGATCCGACCTGTTTGCAAGAGATTCATGCAAGATGTAATGTCCTATGGCCCGTATTCCTCAAATTTAGACGCCATCCATTTTATTTTGCCAGCTTTCTGCAAGAGACATGTCATCGATAACAACCACGATAATTCCAGAACAGCTATTCTTTCCCTGAGCACTGTCTTTTGTAGGTAGCTTTACTGATGGTTTAGTAGGGTATATCAGGTCGGGGGTGTTTGGGGGCGACTGATTTAGGGTTGTAGCATCTCTTAATCTGCACTTAATTTCCTTGGGTGTGTAATGTTTGGTCAGTTGTGCTTTTGCGTTATTGCTGTAGCAATTTTTTCTGTTACTTTAGGCTACTGGGGTTTTGGAGGCTCTTTTGGGTGCGGTTTCAGTTGCATAATATTATGATTTAAGTTGAGCAAGTGAGTTGCCGATGCGACATACGTAGTGTCAGTGCGGAGGCATATTACTTACATTTCGAATCAGAAGGACTGTCAAGAGTTGTTCGTTCATCATTCATTTGGTACTGGATTCTATTATCCTGAGGAAGGTTCCTAATCTCCTTTAATGTGACATTTGTTCCCTTTCAGCCAATGGAAATATATGTTGATGATGAGGCCAAGTTGACCCTTCATGGTCTTGTACAGGTATTTTTCACACACAATAGATGCATCCCATTTTATTCTTTTCTACTGTTTTTGATACTTCAATCTTTGTTTTTGTTCTTTATGCAGCACTACATCAAATTGAGTGATCTGGAGAAAAACCGGAAGTTGAATGACCTCCTTGATGCGTTGGACTTCAATCAAGTTGTTATCTTTGTTAAAAGTGTGAGCAGAGCAGCCGAGCTGAACAAATTACTTGTGGAATGCAATTTTCCATCAATCTGCATCCATTCTGGAATGTCACAGGAAGAAAGGTTAGGAATAGTTTTTCGGAGGTTGAAACTATTGATGCTAAAAAATGATCGGTTAGGTATAGTTTTTTAGAGGTTGAAACTATTGATGCTCAAAAATGATCACTCTCAACCCATCTCATTAATAGTTTAATGAATAGGTGTTATTTGGTTGAACTGTTTTTATCTAGTTTCTTGTTGCTTTGTTAACTGTTATGATTGTATAGTGGTTCTATCAAAAAAATGATTGTATAATGGTTTTTCATTTATGTATAATTTCAAGTGGACTAGGATGCATGCATGGGTGCAATTGCTTCTAATAGGGAACACTATTCTAGAAGCCATGTGAGATTTGCACAAAATACCTTGAGACAGCCTTGGAGGATCACATCCTGAATCTTGTGTCTCAAAGTGTGGCACATCGGGCATGGCTGGAGTCTTGTCCAACATGGTGCTGCCATCTGTTGCATGCTTTTTTTTTACCTACAAATTGATTTGATTTACTTGCAGGGATTTGGAGAATAGTGTCACATCGAGACCATTGTTTTAAAAGGCTTAAGCTTTGAGGCGTGACCATGTGAGGCGTACACCTTGAGGTGAGACACACAGATGTTGGCTCAAGGTTTAAGCCTCACAACATTGATGTGAGATCTAATTCTTTGTCAGAATGAGGCGTAAGCCTCTAGCCTTAAGGTGTGAGGTGTAAAAAGGCACAAGGGCTAAATGTCAATGATTATTTAGTAATTTAATGCAAAAAATATATATTTTATGTATTTTTATAGTTTAAAATACATGGAAGAAGTGCTTCAATAATCATGGACCAAATAAAGAGTAAAAGTGAAAAACCAGTAGATCAAATCAAGTTCTATTAGTTTCTGTTAGTGCTTTAGCAGAGTTCAATGTAAAAAGGGTCAATCAAAATCTTAGTTTCTCTTGGATAAATCAAGTGAATTTTTTCCTATTATTCTAAATATAATATCTTAAGTTTATAAATTTTCTCATTTCTTTTCCTAATGGATTTATTTTCTTTTTATTGTTTTTTTTGCATAGATCAAATTAACTATGCTGTTACCTTTATTCAAACTATATATTGGATGACCATAAATCTAACACCATTTTTATGGATGATTCTTCATTTGTTTCCTTTCTTCTAAAGTTTTAAATTGATCATCTGAATGATTTGAGTAATTTGCATTTTGAAACATGAAATGTAAATGTTTATAATTGTTAGTTGATAAGTTATTTTTTTATTTAATGTTTAAAAGCTGAAACTTATTGCGTATAAACTTCTATTTTATGGATATTTGTACCTTCTATCATTCTAACTTGACATATTATATGTTATCTTTACTAATTTATAAACTTAAATTAATTTTTTTTTTAAGCTTTTTGGCTTATGCCTAGCAATGCCTCGATGCTTTATGCCTCACTTTTTTGGGCCATTAAGCCACAACTTTGCCTTTAGCCTTTTAAAACCATGATCAAAAGATTCAAAATGGCTTTTGCCAGTACCATGATAACATGTTGGACTTCTAAGTTGTGGAAACTTTAAGATCAGATTTCTTGGGAGAAAAACAATGTTGGATTGTTGGGTGTTAAAATTAAGGTTGGGTTCTTTATTTTTTCTGATTTTTATAGATGCTTTTATTATTCTCATGCAAGTTTAGAAGAATTACTTCATCTTAATGAGGCATGTTTGGGGCTTTAAGCTTTGGGACAATTTTATTTGGGACATAGAAACAAACACGGGAAATAACATAAATCAGGTTTCAAGAAGTGGCACGATGGTATTCTGGGTTTTTATAGGAAGGCAAAATTATGAATTGGTGGAAGTACATACTTTGTACTACTTTTGACGTTTTAGTTGTGATGCAGGATGTGAAAGCATAAGAAGGCACCTGATTGTGAAAAATATGGTTTTGTTCCCTATAATTATTTAACTTGTAATGTTTTCTAGCAAGGCTTGTATAGATACTTGATATTTGAATATGAACGACATATGAAGCGGACTTCTTGTGGAAGACTGTCTAGATTCCTGTTAAAATGTTTCAGCTCATGGTAATTTATGAAATTGTAGACTGACACGCTACAAAGGATTCAAGGAAGGGCACAAAAGGATTCTTGTTGCAACGGATCTGGTTGGCAGGGGGATAGACATTGAACGAGTTAACATTGTTATCAATTATGACATGCCAGATTCTGCTGATACTTACTTACATAGGGTTGGTTCCTTTTGTGAACTTCAATTTGATGGTTAGTGTGTTATCCCAATATGTAGTTACTCTACTAACGTTTTCCATTTTTCTTGAATGTGTAAAAGGTTGGTAGAGCTGGTCGTTTTGGCACCAAGGGTCTTGCAATTACATTTGTTTCATCTGCTTCTGACTCTGATGTTCTCAATCAGGTAAGAAAATCTACTAGTTAATTGGACTGCTCAGTGCTCACGCTCAAATTCCTCTTCCTTGCCCTCGTGAAAAATTTTCCATAGATCTTAGTGCTGCTTTTTTGTTTGAGTGCAGGTTCAGGAGCGGTTTGAGGTAGATATTAAAGAGCTCCCTGAACAGATTGATACTTCTACATACAGTACGTTTCTTTTCCTTTTAGTTAACGAAGTACTTATTGTTATAAAAATGGAAAATGAGTTTATAAAGTACTCATGGGTTACTTGGATTTCATGCCTCTCATCTTTAATCAGTTTACTTCACTGTTTTCAAAGCCGGATTGGACCGGATGGTCGGACCAGAAAAACTGGGAACTGGTCACCTGACCGGTTCCATTTTCCTCCAAAACCACTGATTTTGGTCAGTAAACCGCTGAACCCGGCTGGTTAACCGTTTTCCAAATTTTTAAATTCTTTTTAAGTTTTTTATTTTTTATTTTTTTCAGAATGGGCCAGCCGTTCTGGTTGAACGGTCGGACCGTTCGAACCGGTAACTGGACCCCTGACCGGTTCGTTTTTAAAAACCATGGTTTACTGGCTCCTAAAGAGAGCAATTACCGTGATTATCATATTTAATATTAGAAGGGATGAGGAAGGCAAAGCCCCCTCGTACAGAAAAAAGGAAAAAAATACAAAGTGGGTGATGGAACTAATTTGATAATAATTCTTTTTCTTTGATTACTTCTATATACTAGTAAAACTATTTATAATTTATGGGCAGTTTTTGAACAATTATAAGTGGGCAGTTTCATAACTATATAAGTGGACAGTTTTTGAACAGTTTCTCAACTGTTACAAGTGGACAGTTTTTGGAGTAGAGGAAGGACATATATGCCCTTTTTTATGACCGTTGTATGTTGCTTAGATAAGGGGTAAAAATGTTTAATGAAAAATCCAGAAAATGGGGCTATTTGCTCTTTTATTAGCTAGTATAGATATATATTGATGCGTTTGTTGTATTTTTTGCAGTGCCATCTTGATGTTCATTGAACCAGCATAAAAGCTTCAGTGTATATTCATCAGAGGGAAGAGAGCAGGATTGCATTGCTTTAGTACAGTAGTATTTGGTGCACAAATATTTAAGGATGTTGTTATTGATCTTAGTGCTCCGGTGTAGGTTAACTTCATTTGTTAGAACTTGGAAGGATGCAGGGAGAAAGGGCCATTTATCTGTTTTGCCTAATTAATATGGTGGCTTAGAACTTGAGAAGTTGAGAACTTGAGATCGAGGAAGGCTGTATGACATGCCATAAAGAGTTAGTTGAACAGTTCATCTTTAATGTACAACTAGACTAGAGATGCAGCTTTGCTAGCTTTGAATTATTGCCACATCTTTTCACCCAACTCGACTGGACTATGTATTGCTGTGTGACATCAAGTAAGCGACTAGAGTACAATTTTACAAGCACATCTTCATAAACAGATTGATTGTTTAAGATTAAAATTTGGCACCAGTACATGTTGCCCATTTTTGAGCAATCTTCTTGAATTCGTTAAGACGTGATAACCGATGTCGTTTATTGTTCGCTGAATCGCATTGACGGTTGTATCATAATCAGACTGATAAACTCAGATTCTTGGTATCTCTCCAAGTTGGGGACTAGAGGGGTGTCGAGTCCTCCAAGTTTATATATACGCTTGCGAGTTGCGTCTTTGCCCTCCCTGAGATCCCAGAGTTCCAACTTCTGTCTCCGGGTTTAAAGCTGCTGGATCAGAAGCGGTTTTTAACTTTTTATATCTTGTGTTATTCTTGTTTTGTCCGAACTTCTGACTGATTTAACCTATACTCCTTGAATAGGAAAATGGTTTCAGTGTTCAATTTATATTTCATGTTCATTAATAAAAATATTTATTTATCATACTTGTTTTTTCCATGATAAGTATATAATTTTAGAGATATGCTTACTTTTTTTATAATTTTATTTATTTTAAACTTTTATTATGTAACTATGRGATCATTGGTTGCCCATTTGACCCAAATATTTGAATTACATATCTGCTGTATGGATATGAATAGAGGTGTAAATCAGGTCATACTTCATATGGCCGGCACAAACTTGGATTGGCCCACAGCTTGGCATGATGGTTTGTGGGCTATGCTAGGCTTGGCATGATCATGCGGGCTGTGCTTGGGGTTTTAGGTCCATGGGCCAGCATGATATTGCATGATTGAGCGGGTCGGCATGACCCATATATATTATATATATTATATTTATATAATATTATATAAATTATAATTATATAATAATATATAGTATATAATATATTAATAAAATAAATATTTTTTTAATTTTATTATACTAATTTATTTAATTATTGTATATATAAGCGATTGTAAACACAAAATTCATATAAAATTAAAATTTTAAATTTTTTATCATTTTTTTTAAATAAATTGTTTTGGCCTGATGCATGGCCCGATCTGGCCCAAGGCTTGATCAACGGGCTAGGGCCGTGGGCCATGTTGGGCCGACCCCCAAAATTTTCACTAGGGAGGGCGACATGTCTTGTAATGGCCCACACTTTGCACAGGTTGCCCATGGGGGCCACTTTACACCTCTAGATATGAAGATGGCTTAGTTTTTATGGTTTTCTTTTTCCTTTTATTATAGATGATTCATGTTGGGTTTGATATACAGGTTTTGTATTCTTAAAATTATTGGGTATAGCCGTATATAGGGCTGTTCACGGGTCGGGTTGGGTTGGTTTACTAGTTTTTTTTCAACCGACCCAACCTGGTTGAGTCACCTAAAGATTAAACTGAAACCAACCTGATCGGTTTAGGTCAGTTTGGGTCGGTTTTGGTTTAAATATATACATTTCCGAAATATATATTTTAGCTTTATATATATATATTGGAAATATACATATTATATATAATATTATGTAATATTATATATAATGTTATATAATATATAATATTTTATACTATATAATATTATAATATTATATATATATAAATTGAAATATACATATTATATATAATATTTCAATGAGAATATATTTATAGATAACTCGGTTTTGTTCAGTTCGGTTGAAAATCGAAACCAAACCGAACTATCGGTTTACCCATCTTTCTAACCCAAAACCGATCGGTGGTGAAGATAAACCGACCAAATCAGGTTGGGTCGGGCTGGATTGGTCGGTTTGAATTTATTTGTGAACAACCTTAGTATAGGCTTAATAATATAACTAGTGGCATGCCCCTGCCAAGTAGGGGCTAGTGAATAGACAATTTACCAGAATAGCAATTTAAAAAAGCAAAATTTGAAGCTCACATCATATAAGAATTTTAAAAGAAAATATATAAATCAAATTGATGCAAAAAATAATATTTATACGATTTAATATTATGAGAGAATAACACCATTTAAAAAAAACACATTACCTAATTACTTTATGGATATATAGATGGAAATATCCTACAAAAAAAATAAACTAAAAATAGATGATCCAAACCATATATATATATAATAAAAATGCCAATACATCTATTATAACCTATTTTGAGCTGGGGAATATTTTCCTTGAAAAGCTATTAACTAAATCCCATTAAATACCTACTTCCCCCTCCCCCTCCCATCCCCACCCCTCCCCTACAAGGGTATGCACTTCTAAAATGTATGTTAAATTAATTTTACTTAATGTATTTTTAAAATAATTTATTAAATACCTTAAAGTTATTAGTTGTAACTATAATTTTTAAATTTTGAGTACTTAATGTAGTTTAGATATGTAATTAGATTAATTCAGTTAATAATCTATTTAATTTATCATGATTAAATCAAATAAATTGACTAAGACAGCTAATTAAATTATACTAAATTAATTTGCTTAACTTACCTAATTGAATATCTAAAAACATTTTTGAAGTTATAATTAGACAAAATCTATAAACATTCTATGAAAATTGATGCAATATAGATTTTGCATTGTAAATATTACAATTGAAATCATATCACTTCTTCTTCTTCTTACATGCCACACAACCCCCTTCCTCCCCGACACCACACTCCAAGTCCCACACAAGCCACTCTCTCCCGGTCTCTCCCCCTAATTACAACAACGAGTCCTACGCAACTCCTCTCTTTCTCTCTCATGGCACCACGCCCTATCGGTTCATCGTGTTCCACATAAACCCCCCTCTCTCCCCCCTCCCAGGTCCACATAACCTCTCTCTCTCTCTCTCTCCATTTTGATCAATGTGTAATATAACTTAATTAATTGATATAAGCCCACTTGATTAAATTAAAGATATCTTAACAAAGGTGAGAAATAGAAAAAGTAATAGAAAATAATAAAAAATATAAGAATTAAGTGATTAGTGATAGTAGAAATAATAATAAAAAATATAAATTAAAAATATTTTAACAAATGTAAAATAAAAAAAAATAAAAAATCATGTTCTTTTGCTTACATCGAAAAACAATAATAATCATAAAAATATGTTAATGATGTTAGTATAACATTAAAAGTACTGAATATAATGAAAAAAATATTAAAATAAAAATAATAAAGTTGTTAAATTAATAATGTTGAAGAATAGGTTGTCGGCCTTGTAGCCAAAAAAGATCCCATTTTCTGAACTAACTTATGTTAAAAGGGTTTTTTTTTTAACCACCACTTATGTTAAAGTTAAATGAAATTAATTAATTAATTTATATATTTAACGTAATTTAATGTAAGGTTTAAATTATATTAACATACTTAATTAAGCTTTAATGTAATGCAATATAATAATTTATCATGGTTGATCTAGTATCACAATTTATATAGTTTACTTGGTCCAAGTTGTTGTTATTATTATTATTATTGAATGGCCTTCATGCAACGGTTTTGGCCATTGGATCATATCACTTACAATGGTCTAACAATACCATTGGACTTGCTTAAACGAAAGTACCCAAAAAATGTTTAATTAATTTTGTTCACCTCACTAATGATGGGATAAATTATATAAATAAATAAATATAAAATGAATGCTGCTCGCAACATTTTGGAAACAGTTGCCAACTTATCATGGGAAATAGAATTTTTGAAAAAGTTAAATTAAGTATAGAAAAAAGAATGAAAATTTATAAGATTTGGAAGAGAGATTTTAGGGGATTTAAGATACATTTTATTATTTAAAACCAATTAACAAATACCAAAAAATATTATGTTATGACGCTTGTAATATATAGTATATCTAATATTTTATATTATATAATATACAAGATATATTTTATGCACAAACATGACAAATATAAAATATTTATTAAACATTTTATATATAAAAAACATAAGCACAGGGGACAGAAAATTTTCTGTCTCAACCAATAGAAAACTGCCATGCCACCTTCTGCATTTGAAACTTAAATTTAACAGAGTTAGACTTGATGACTGGACTCTCCAAAATACATTTTAATTTAATTTGTTTACCGCCCAACCCATTCCCTTCTCTCTCTCTCTCGTTCATTCCTCTCCTTCTTACCTTCTTTCTCTCTTTCGCCGCCCCTCCTCCTCCCCCTCTCTAGTTTGGAAATAATAGGCAAACTTGAGAAAAGAGACATGGAGCAAAACACCATTGGTCGATGGGATTATTTGATTGATTTGTACATGTGTCGCTCTAGGACCGAGAGAACTCACTTTTATAAACATTTAAAAATTAAATTTAAAACTTTAAAGCAAAACATTTAAAAAACTGGAAGAAAAACCGTTGGTGAGATTATTTGATGGATTTTTATATGTGCCACTCCCAGGACCATGAGAACTCTTATAAACATTTAAAAAATTAAATTTAAAACTAAAGCAAAAAAACCATTGATCGATGGGATTAATTGATGAGTTTTTACATGTGTTGGTCCCCATAAAAGTAATAGATTGGAAAGAAACATTTTTCGTTAAAATTTTCGCACCCGCACTCTGTCTACACTCGTGTAGATTCCATTTTTGTGAAGCTAAATATTCCATTTAGTGAATGGAGATAAATCGACCGTGTATATATATAGATTTATTGGTAAGAAATAAAAATACTTCAAATAAGAGGAAGAATAAACTGAATTTAATATAAGTGAGAATTGAAAGAAGTGAAAAGTAATAGCTTAAATTAGGTGTTTTGGTCAATAAAGCGTCCACAAATCTCTTTATTCAATATTCAATAAATCTTAGATTTAACAATAGAAGATGAGAGTTAATACCTTAAATATAGGACTTAATAAGCTAAAGGGAAAAATGAATTTAATATAAGTGATAGTTTAATTACATTATGGTTTTAGCCCTTATAATAAAGAGAAGCAAAATCAATTCTTTAGTAGTATAAATATTTGGCTGAAAGTGAGTCATCCTTGGTAAACTAGTGTGCTCATATACTTGTCTCTTGGCTGTTAAGGGGCTTTAGGAAAAACTGCGGCATTATGTGTAATTTGATCATTTTTTCCATCTATTGGGGGGATATGGAAAGAAAGAAATAATCTAAAGGGAATGGTATAAAGGTCAATAGTGATTGGAGTAGTGTTACAGAAGCACAATTCTCTTATAAAAAAATCTTTATGATTGTCATGGGACAGTGGAATTGAAATATACACAGCAGCATAGCAGGATTTTTAAATTAAGAATTAGTGCATTCACATATCAGCTGCACGTTAAAGTTAGATCTCAACCAAGTATGTTAAAGTCTGCTTATCATTGATTCAGTTCTCAATGCTTACTAAAATATGGACCATAATGTGTAAATATTACAGTTAGGCTTCAATATAATTTTAATGGAATTTGAAGGATTTTTAATTTCTATATTTCTGTAATGGGTAGTAATCCATTATTGTTGATACATAAAAGGTGAAGGTTTTGTAAATGATTTATATGAATTGAATGAAGGTGCCACCCTAGCTTGTTTGGATGTCCCCTTTTCCCCTTCGTTAATAAAAATGTGAAATGTAAACTTAGTCAATATTTAATTTGTGCTTTAAGTAATCTTTATTAATGTAGATCAACTTACTTATACATTCATCTAAAAGAGTTTTTACATGCATGACCCCAACATCATTCAACATTTATTTTAGAAGAGGAAAAAGGATCATATATAGATTTTACACTCCCAAGATGCTTCCTTTTTCTTTCTAGCATCATGGTAGGTATAGTATTGGTTAATTGGTATATATTATTCTTATTCTTCTTCTTATTATTATTATTATTATCTGTATGACAAATTATTATTATTTAGTATTATTATTAGGGCAGTGATGTGGGTACATCCATTATTTTTTTTTCAGAGGCACACCCCAAATCATGATTAGGGGCATTAACTCAAAACTTCCCCTATCTTTTGATCTTTACCATTAAAATTAAGAATGGTTTCTTTGTCTTTTTACTAGGGAATAGGGATGTTCATGGTTTATAAAAAATTAGTTAATGACCACCCCATTCTGAAAACACAGCAACTATTCCAACATATTTTGTTTGGGACCCGGCCATAAGGCCATTGCCTACGTGATAAATTTATATTAAGCTCTATATTTTATTTACTAGATTAAATTAGGTTTTATTTTGTAATTACTAACCCATTTTATCTGAAACATGGGACAAAAAATAATATTCATGTATTGAGCAAGTCTTGCCCATTTTGAGTTAGAAACTAAATTAGATTTGATTTGTTACTGATGGATTAATTTTTTAGCCTCTGTTAAAATTTAATTATCTTTGTTTTTTTTCTCCGAATAGGATGCTAGCTAAGCTACCTGTTTGAAGGAGAATCCATGGATAAGCTGTTCAACGGAGATGGTAGAACACGCCAAAGATGATGAATGACAGTTCTGTTAGGGGAGAATCTCTATATACTAAGGGTGGATAGAGGTGCTGCTATTGGAAGTTGAGTTTGCAAAGAACGATAGAAGACTAGGTAGTAGTGGGTTTATCCGGTTATGTTCGATAGAGCTTGGACGCGCGGGAGATGGGAGCTAGGGCGATTAGTGAGCAGGTTGTTTGACATTGTAGGAATAAAGCCGGAAGGTGTCCGGTGAGTGGTTGCTGGTTTTCTGTGGGGTGTCTGGTTACAGGAGCTGCAGTGATCTTCGGCAATCTTCCAGCAGATACAGATGGAAATGAGAGAGAGAGAGAGAGAGATGAAATTAGACACTAGTCAAAACATGTTGGTACAGGTCAATATTATAGATTTAGAGAGGAATGTAATTAGACCCCGTCAAAGACCATCCAATTCCATAGGTTAATACCAGACTAGGAATCCACATCCATTGGTTAATAACAGATAAAGGAACCAATTCTGGATTTTTTTTCCCAAGCAAGCCGTTAACGTGATATATAAATATAGAGTGCTTTCAAACCAAAGACAAGATACCCCTACAGAAGGAGGCATTCAGAGCTGCATGCAGCAGAAGGCATGGCTGTGTGATTACACTTCTCAACAGAGTTAAAAAGTTGTCTATTGTGGTGTCAAGGCAAATAAAATCACGACTTTGAAGCAAAACTAGTAAGGAATTAATGCCAATTAGATAGGTTTGTTATAAGAGGCGATAGAGCTTAACTCTAATAGAACAGATGTAATGTTTTGCATGCAGGTCGAACTACATTGTCTACATTTTACATTTGAAGGAAAGGAGTGTTAGAAGAGGGTTGCCTGCCTTCTGTTAATTTTCCTTCTCAATTAATTATAATGGTGAGAAGCTTCTAATTCCTTATGGTATCTCAACTATAACCAACAATGTCACCTTATTAAGGTTGTGGGGATACTTATTGGGGATAAATACTCCATGTTCCTTCCATTTTTCAGGGACTTTTAGCTGTATTATTATTTGTTCTCGGCCTTTGTTCTATGCCGGTTTGCTTGGATGCTGCTGGAGATTCAACAAGCTTTAGTGTTTTAGATTATGGAGCTGCTGGTGATGGCCAAACGGATGATTCCAAGGTAAACCATTTAAGCCTGTGTTTGGTTTGAAGGAAAAAGTAGGGAAAGGAAGAGAAAGGTAGGGAAACCTTTATAAATACCTTTTCCTTCACACCAAACATATATATAGCCTTAGTCTTTTTAATTTTCATTTATTAATTTGGGTTGCATGGGCCTATAACTTATGATCGTATAATGTCTTCTGAAGCAGAATATCATATAATTATATGAATTTTCATTACAGGCATTTTTGGAGGCTTGGAATGCAATGTGTTCTAGTAGATCAACAGATATTCCTATAATGGTTGTTCCAGAGGGAAAGACATTCTTGGTGAAGCCTGTAAACTTTTATGGTCCTTGCTTGGCCAAGAACGTCAATGTTCAGGTAGACTTATATCAAACACTTTCATGTCTCAAAGGGAAGCCTTTAATCAATTGCTAAATACTTTTTTCCGTTAACAGTAACAGTAGATGAAAAATACTTTCTATAAATTAACACAAATTGGACTTCTCGTTATATGATAATAATTTGACCAGCATATACTAAACCCATCATTGTTTTTGAGTTGATAAGCTGGTTGCACTACATGGGTGTTATCAGTTATGGTGTGGCTTAACCAAAATCTACAGATGTGAATTGATTACTTCACGAGAGAAGAAAATTTGGCAGCTCAGGTTCTATAGCTTGGGCTGTCAATAGGGTTTTTGCTATAATATGACACAAGGAGAGTCCTGTTACATCAATTCATGCATTCGGCATGGACAACCAATGTTTAGTTGAGGTGCCCACAGCACCCGAGGTAGGGGAAAAAGGGTTGTGGCTCAATTTTAGTCTTAGTTTGCTGGTTTTTTTCTTTCTGCTTTTGGATTTTGGAACAGGCCTGGGTCTTGGGAAGGCTAGGTTCTTGGGTCCTAACTGGGTCTTGTATGTGTTGGCCTAAGTTTGGTTTTTGTTTTGTTGTGGGGTGAGGTGCTTTGTTGAGCCTTTGTTCTTGGAGTTTTTGGCCCATTCGATTCTTTAATCTTCTTTGTTAACGTTGAGCCTTTGTTTTCGCAATGGTTTAATTTGTATGTAGATAATGGGAAGCATCATAGCACCAAACACGATTAAAGAATGGGAGGGGGTCGATGCAAGGTGGATGGCGTTCAACAATGTGAGTGGACTTAGCGTCAGTGGATCTGGTACTATTGATGGACGGGGTTCTGACTGGTGGAATAATTCATGCAGAGATCATCCTGGCAAGGTGGGTGTGTTATTACACTTACTATATAATGAGAATAGATAAGATTTCTTATTATGTTTTCGGTTAGGTTTCTATTTCAATTTGTTTTTCTTAAATTAATTAACTAACTCAACTGTCGGTTTTTTTTTTCTTTTTCTTTTTTGGGAATTTTCCCCTTTCAGGGATGCACCACTTTGGCACCAACTGTAAGTAATGCATGCATGCATATCAACATATATACGTATAGTGAATTTAATGGGTTAGTCTAAATGTATAGTGTTAATTTGTGCTAGGTCAAGTACCAGAAATGTCAAGTGTATAGGAAAAGCAATTTTAAGAGATGTATACGTTTTGGATACGCATGGATATACATGAAAACACTATAAATACTTCAATAAATCATAAAAATACATCAATACCACTAAATATAAGGCCTCAATGAGGTGTAGATACATTAAATTAATATATTTTAATGGTTTTACAAAGACATATATCGTAATCAATTATTATTTCATTAAAAAAACTATGCTTAACTATTATTTATAAGTTATAATTCTTAAGTTTTAAGGGATGGGAAAACCCAACTATCCTATCCGACCATAAAACATGCATTTGCACAATTTCTAAGTGCCAATATAATTAATAATTATTTCTTATTAAGTAATTCTTATTTACTTTTATTTTCAAAAATTATAAAAATAAACATTATATAATATATTCAAAAAAATACCGAAGAAGAAAATTTTCAATTGCTCTATGGACATGATAGATCATCCGTAGATCTATAATATATTTAATCATTGTGATTAGATCATAAAATATAATTAATTATTAATTATTTTTAATTCTAAAAATATATAAAAACAAAAAAATATTAAAAAGGAAATTGCAATTGCTCCATGGATATGATAGATAATTCGTAGATCTAGAACATGCTAAGTCTTTATAGGCAGTAAGGGAGATAAAAAAATATTTTCAATTTTTTTGTTATTTTATATTTTCTCAAATCTCTTCATAAAATTTGTATAAATGTATTCATAACACATAAAAAAGTGATTTGAACATATTTAATGTAGATCAACATAAATTTAAATATTTTCAAGTATTCAAGGAAAAAATCATAAGATATTATAAAAAATTGAAAAAAAATACCTATTTTTGTAATATGTTTTAAAACTTGAAAAAAAACTTAAAAAACATTGATGATTCACACATGTTTTTTGCATATCTAGCACTTTTTAAATGAGATTTGTAGTGCTGGAGGTATTTGTGGGTGAAAGAAGACTTATTTTAGGGGAAAGAAGCTTTCTTTTTCTTTTTATTTATTTTTTGTTTTTTTTCATATCCTTTTTGTAGAATATTGGTCGATACACTACCAGTATGCCTGATACACCTCCAATACAGTCCAATATGGTGGAAAAAAGACAATACTACTAAACCATACCTTGTATCAGAATTTGAAAGATACAATACAATATGCCCAACACAAGACGTATGGTATTGAAATTTGAAACTTTGGTTGTATCCTGGAGAGAAACTCTGACTGAGGCGACTAAAACATAGGGATGCTTGGATCATCATAGATCTTTCAAGGGTGCTACTTGGCCATGAGACCAAACCCAGAACTACCAACCCAGAAAATGTTGGAAGTTTCTGAGTTGAAAAGTATTGAGTTGGGGATGAAGCCCTGTGCAACCAAAACCAATTCCAATGTACAAAAAAGGTTATATAAAGGAAAGGGAGGTAAAGAAACCTTGGCCATCTTGAGCCTTATAATTTGGGTTCGATGTGGTCAGGGTTTTTGGTATTAATTGAGCTGTGTTGGATTAGGTTCAATTTCTTCGGATGGGCTAGTGTTAGCATCAACTTTGCGTTACCTCCATTACCTGTCCTAAATTGATCCTTGGCTTGGTCATCCCTTGGTAGAAGAATGCTTGTAGACATAGAGTTCATCCACCATTATCCCAGAGTTTGTTTAATTTACTAGAATTTCCCTTCTTGGTTTCATGAAATTTATTTTTTTGGCCCATGATTTGGTTCACCCAAATATTTGTCTAGCTTGTCATTTATTTATTCACCTATTTACTTGGTACTCAAATTAAGAAAAGAAAACTGATGATGAGCAATTTGTTAAAAAATGTTACACAGTCAATGGAATTCCAGAATTGCAACGAATGTCATCTCAGCAACCTTCGGTTCGTCAACAGTCCACAGGTTCACATCCTGGTGTACCAGTGTAATGGGATTTACATTGATGGAATTGTTATTAGGTCTCCAGAGAACAGCCCAAACACTGATGGCATCCACATCCAAGCAGTCGACAATATGTTCATCCAACGTGCAGACATTGGCGCTGGTAATCATTTTGATATTTATATCATCTTTCCTAGCTTACCCCTTTATGCTTCTCACTGTTCTACATTCTCCGTTCTACCACCCTCAATTTCAGAATAAAAAAACTGATTTTGATTTTTTTTATGCCAAATAGGAGATGATTGTATCTCCATAGGAGATTTCACTTCCAATATTAATGTCAAAGATATTATATGTGGTCCTGGCCATGGTATAAGGTAAGCTTATTCCGAAACTGGTTGACCCGAGAATCAGTTCTGTTTCACCCTAAAATCATTTCTGGGCCAAAAATTATTGATTTGATCAGCAAYCCACTGTTCTGGGCGGTTTAACTGTCCACCTGTTGATCCAAACAAAGGTTTTTTAGCCTTTTTTATTTAATTATTTTTTTATTGTTTAAATCAAAATGGGCCGTCCATTTGAATTGGATGATAAGACCATTTGACTCGGAAGCCGGTCGGATTTTTAAAACCTTGATTTATCCCTTTTGATAAGTCCAGCTTGAAATTCGATAAACTTAAACCTATATTCAAAATGGGTTAGTCTCCAACTTGAAAGAATGCCGACTACTAGTTCCTTCCATCCTAATAAATAAAAAAAATATTAATTTATAGGATTAAAAATATCAATTAATTTTTACAAATTAACCATTTTTTTTACCGGTGAAAGCAGTATTGGAAGCTTGGGGATGGGAGGTACATCATCCAAAGTGGAGAATATTAATGTCAACAATGTTACTCTCACCAATACCATGAATGGTGTAAGGATCAAGACATGGGAGGTATGAAATTAGTAACCCATCCACAAGTAATTAAATCTCCACTCTTTATCAATTGGAGAAATGTCTCTTATAATTTGATGGTTCATTTAGTCGCCTAATAATGATCAGTTTCATGGGCTTATATAAAATTCTAAATATTCAATACTGTTAATGTGATTATATAATTCTTCTAAATCATCGATCTCTTTCGTTTTTTTCTCTTAAACTTATTTCAATAGGAGGGACAAGGATACTGTCGAGGAATCACCTTTGAGCATATCAGGCTCACCAATGTCCAAAACCCTATCATCATTGATCAACACTATTTCTGCTGGGTAGCTGGATGCAAAGACCTGGTGAGAACTCAACTCAACTCAACTCTCTCTCTCTCTCTCTAGATCTCAAACTGAATCATTAATTCTTCTTGTTGTGTTTATGAAGCCAACGGGCACTCACATAAGCAACGTTACATTTTCTGACGTGATGGGAACTTCAAGCACCCCTGTGGCCATCAATATGAACTGTAGTTCCGCTGTTCCGTGCAGTGAAATATCCTTGGATTCAGTACAACTTGTGTCTGCAACTTCTGGACAGAAGGTGACCACTAATTGTAAAAATGTAATCGGAACTGCAACTGGACCAATCCAACCCATTGTTCCTTGTCTCACAAATAAAGGCTCTTTAAAATCAACATGTTCAACCTTTCGCTGTGCAGTTACTGGGTTTGGGTTTGGGAAAACTCCTTAGGGAGAGTGAGAGTCTGAGAGAGCAATTACTACAATTCCTGTAATGGGTGTTTGTATCTTTGTGCTTTGGAGTAATAAATCGAATTTACTCTAATCTCTTGTCTTTTTGTTTTTTTTCATTTTAGTGGTTACATTCCATCTTTAATAGAAATACAGTTCTTTGGAGTTCTGCTGCATATCGGAGCGCTGTATGACGGGCATCGTTCCGAATTTCTGCAACCACCTCTCACCCATCAGAATTACTCTGCAGACGAACTTCATCTTTATTCTTTGTAACACAAAACTGATTATATGTTCAGTAGCACCAAAGAGTGGACTAATCTAGCCTATAATTAATTGGACATTGTGGGGGTAATGTTTCTGTTTCGGCAGAGGACTTTCCTCTGAACCCTACTCTCATTTGTTCCATTCCGGATTGAGTGCGTGTGGACTTGAAGGGATTTTTCCTTCGAATCCCCTCATTCTGTCACACGTTGTCAGGATCTGATATATATCAACCAAACTGATAACCAGCTATTCCCTAATTTCTATTTTATCTACATATTTCTTTTCATAAAAGAAAAGCAAAGAACTTTTTTAAAAAATTAACAAATTTTGTTTAATTAATAAAAACTAGGGTTAATTAGTTGCAGAAATGGAAAGGTGGGAAGCGAGAGAAAGAAGAAAGTGGAGTAGAAGAAAAGAGAGAGGGGGGGGGGGGGGGGGGGGGGGGGAGGGGGTAAGTGGAATAAAAGAATAAAAAGAAAAGGAGAGAGAGAGATGGTTCTCCTTCCTCCCCTTCATTCCATGTCTGCATGGTTTTCCTTCCTCCCCTACCATTTATTTATTTTTTGGTTTTTTTTTTGTATTTCCTTTCTCTCAAAATTTCAAAGGTAACACTAGCACATATAATAAGATTGTAGCAGGTTGCTACCTCAGCTAAAAAGCCCTTCACGAGAGAAATTTGTTTTTCCAAAGAGTCTCCTGTTATTAGTATGATGTCTTTTCATTTTCAAAACAAAAGAGGCTTTCTAGATGCACCGAATTAATGAATGCAAGAAGTTTGATGAGGGTGTGTGACCGGTGCAGCTGGTTTATCGGGTCATAACTCGTTTTGAGGCTACAAGAAGATGACTACTATGCAGTTGGTTTCTTCTTTGTTTTTGCACTTTATTTCTTACAGCGGTGATGTTGATGGTGCTGATTTTGTTTCTTTGACGATTATTACTATTACAGGCAACCCTAAAAGGTCATTGCTTATCCAGAACAGCAAGCATGAATAATATTAGAGCGTTTGGTTATAAAATTCTTGTCATTGATCTCATTCTTGTCAGAATGAAAAATCAGCCCATAGCACAAAAATTGGAGTAGCTTGCAACATGAAAAATAATCATGCCCCATCTTGCCAATTTTCTTTCTTTAATGAAAGTTTATGCCAATGGTTAGAAACCACTAGCATAAATACACTTTTATGAAAGCATCTTCTTGAGAGCACTTTTTCAAAAGTAATTTTATGAAAATTACTTTTACGAAAGCAAAATATTTTTACAAAAGAACTTTTATGAGAGCACTTTTATAAAAGTACTTTTTATATGAAAATACTTTTACAAAAGCACTTTTATAAAAATAATTTTATGAAAAATACTTTTACAAAAGCAATTATATAAAGTACTTTTATGAAAACACTTTTACAAAAGTACTTTGGAGCAACGTAAGGCATTTGTTAGTTTGAAAAGAATTTATTTTTCAAGAAAAAAGTATTTGATCCATAGCAATATTTTCTCATTTTACCCATTTTTACCCATTCTTGTCCATTTTAGAATTTCATCTTGGACAAGAATGAAAAAGAATGAGAGTTGAACCAAACATGGCCTAGGCATTTGCAAAGCTATGCTATAGTAAAATGGCAAGCCATTTTCATTGTCTTTTGCCCAAACCAAAGAAAAAGAAGTAGAATTTGTACAACAAATCAACAATGCAACTCCTTTCTTATTTTTAAAATTTCGTTTTTAGTCTATTTGTTCTTCTTTAGATTAGTAAAGGGGTAGTCAAGATACGTTAGGAGTGTTTATTAAGATAGTTAAAGTCAATTAACTCTACTATGCTCCCATTTAGGAGTGTTTATTTTTAAACATTCATTGGAGAAAGCACTTATTTTAGGCCAAGACTACACCAAGAAGCACTTACATGTCTTCGAGAAATAAGTCTGAATAAGTACTTTTTCAGAAAATAAGCCTGTTTTGAATAAATTCAAAATTTTGGTATTTTTCAAGTGCTTATTGCATTTTCTGGTCTATCTTGCCTCACAACTTAATTTCAAAATATCTATATTGCCCCCATTTGAAAGAAGCACTTTTCACCAAACACTATAAGTGTTTATTAGGATAAGCACTTATTTGTCCAATAAACATACCCAAGCAGGGGCTAACTTAATTAGCTTGAGAGCCAATTTGAGAGGGATTCAACATTGATTGAGTTGCATTGAAAGAGACACTTTGGGGAGGCTACTAAAGATAACTTCACTAGAAAGTCAATTTTGTAGCTCATGTAAATGTATTTTTGACTTTATGGTTTTTTTCACCAAACATGGCTTCACGACTTTCTGTGTGGGGCTTACCTTCCAACTCCAGAAGTCATGTGAAAGCCCTACCAAACGGGAACTAAGACAACCTCATCGGAAAGTCAATTTTTCAATCCATGTAAGCCTATTTTCAGATTTTTTTTTGCCAAACATGGCTTATGGGTTTCCATATTTTTCAACTCATGTAATATTAGAAGCTACTTCATGCAAGCCCTCCCAAATGGACACCAATTAAGTTAACAACTTTATTAACTTAGCATACCTATCTTAAATGAAATAAACTTAATTAATAAAATTAATACAATTATATAGATAAATTAATAAAATATTAATTTAAAATGCTTTGAAAGTAAAATTAAAAATAGTAAACATGAATAAAATTTAATTATTCATAAAAATAAAAAAGTATAAATTTAAATCAACAAAATTAACAAAAATAATATGAATTTATTTAATAATAATTAAAATAAACAAAATTGTTTTTATTAATAAAATTAACAATCATTCTGGTACCTTGGTTCAATAATTCATAATAAGGGAGAGATTAAGGAGATTGTCACCCAAAGAATTAGAACAAGTTGGGAAGGGAGGGGTGCATTTTGTGTGAAAGTGAATATCATTCAGATTAAAAGGAAAATTCTATTGACAATTGTAAGATAAGCTAAGTTGCATGGAGTAGAGTGTTGGGTGGTTAAGAGACAACATGTCAAAAAAATGAGAATGACAGAACTGCAAATTCTAAGATGGATGAGTGGAAAAATAGAAATGATAGGATTAGAAGTAGATCCAATAGATTATAAAATGAGAGAGAGAGAGAGAGAGAGAGAGAGAGAGAGAGAGAGAGAGAGAGAGAGTACACTAAGATGGTTCATACACATGCTTAGAAGGCCACCAACACATCTAGTTAGAAAAAGTGATCTGTTACAAGTGGAAGGGACTAAAAGAGTTAGAGGTAGACTAAAAAGGTCATGGATAGAAGTAGTAAGAAATGATTTAAGCACCAATAATTTAACAACAGATATGGCTTTAAATAGAACAAATTGGCAAAATAGGATTCGTGTAGACAACCCCATATAGTTGGGACAAGGCATGGATGGTGATGATGATGATGATGATGATGAAAAAAATTAACAATCACTAAAAAATTATTAGTTATACAATTACTTTTTAATTTAAACTCTATGAAAAATTTAATAAGTGTTAATAAAATTTAACATGAACTCAATAAAAAATTTATAGAATTTAATAAATGTTAATAAAATTTAATTACATGGAGGTGCAACTTGAATTGTAGTTAAACTAGCTAGACATAACCTAAAAAATAATGTATGAATTGGAATTGGATTGGGTCATCTCAATTGGAAATTCCATTGTGTTCATAAACTTCAAATTTGTTTAACAAAGGTCGTGCATCGCATAGGTCCTGACAAATAGAAAGATAAAAAGGGACACAATGGAATAGAGAGCGATTAAAAGAGAGAACTGAGGAAGATCTTGCTTTGCTGAATTGCTACCGCTGTTGGTGCTGCTTGAAAGAGGGGGATAATGATCACTATTCAAATTTGGTATGATGCTTTCAAAAAAATTGGTATGATGTGTGAGAATGTAAGAAAGGACAATTAGGTTCGAAAAAAACCATTTTTTGTCCCGTTTATTGTTTTTACCGTTTTTGTGAATTATATGCTTTTTTTCTTACAAGTCATCAAACTTTATTAAGCAGATATCTAATGGTGACTAGTGAGAAACCCTCTAATTCTTGAGAACCTAAAGAAAATTGGTTTACTTCATTGTTATTCTATACCTCTTAGCGTTATTTTCATATAAGTACACTAACGTGGGATATACATACAAGAGATGGACATCACTAACAAATCAAAAGCCTTGGCTATTGAATTATGAGTCACTTTTGTATATAAGTCCCTTGTTCCTCTCATTCATTTCTAATGTGGGACTCTCTTCATTCCATACATTACTCACATGTGAATCTCAACAATGTCCCCCTTACATGAGTGAGTCTCTTCCACATTGAGTATTTCATATTGCCCCTCGTGCAAAAGCCATTATCATATTACTAAGCTTGACATTCACCAACCAAAGKCCCTTTGTTAATGACCATAGGGGACTAACTATGGAAGCACATTCCCATGGGTGGAGTTACCATGAGAGATCAACCACTATTACCAACTATTCGATCATGGGGAAGCATGCAAAGTTATAGGAGTTACCACGTACATCATGGTAGATCAAGACTTTGCTTGCCTTATTCTTTTTGTATAATCTCTCTTCTTCTTCCTTTCGGAAGCTTGAGCAAGGAAATTAAAACCCACAAAACAGTGGAGGCAGCTTTTGTAATGTTTTCTTTTCTTCAGTTGTTTAACTATAAAAATGAGAAGAGAAAGCAAATACTATGGATATGAGCATCCTCTTCGAAGCTTTTCAAGTGATATGTCTAAGAGCAAATCAATGGCTGTCAATGCTATCTAATTATTCCCTTTTTGGCTATTATTTGTTTGACATGGAGTGAAAGGGAAAGTAAATAAAGTTTTTGAAATTCCTTGACAATTTTTCCTCAAGTTTCTCGTTTCTCTTATTATCTGTGAAACCATACACAACCTTAGTGGGTGGGGGTGGGGGTATACACCTTGATAGTTGAACCTTGCTGGCCTTAGCAAGGCCTTTCCTTGAAAATATCAAAAAACAGAAAATAGTTTATATATGATGCGATATGATATGCCTTAATACGTGACGAAATTTTAAACCTCGTATAGGGGCGAGGGAATTGTCACAACTCAAGCACACCGGGATTATACATGTTCATGTTTTATTGGGTAACATTGCATGGGATAAGCAGTTGTGGCACAACAAATTGAGACTCAACTTCTTGATTTTCATTGGTTTTCTGTTTTCCAATAAAAGAAGAAGAATGAAATTATCATATCAGTAAGAAGTTTTTTTTTTTTTTTTTTGTTTAACTATGGGTGGATTGCAATACATTTGAAACTTTTTCCCTTTTTTACAGTGAAAATTTTATTTTTTTGCCAAAATAAATTAGAATGGTGTTGCACAAAACCCAGAAATGTAAATTCAAATGGCACTCAAAAATGAAAGAAAAATAATGATAAAATAAGTAAACAAAGAAGACACACAGATTTACGTGATTCAACTTATAACTTACGTCCATGAGTGAAGGAGTAAAAATCCATTATAAAATTAGCAATGGAAAAGAACACAGACCTGTGCACTCACAACCTCACTCATAGAAAACCCTATACCCCAAATACACCCAAAGCCTCTCAACTTCTCTCACAAGACAAAAGATGAAATTAAGAATACAAAAGAACCTCCAAAGTACATAACTCATCGTATTTAGTTTGGATCCATAACTGAATATGGATCGGATCTGTACTGCAATAGGGGCTCCGCCCCCACACGCCCAATGGTGGTTAGTAATGGGCTACGGGCCCCTACGCTTCCACCACATACCACTATGAAAAATTTCCTTCAGGCTTTTCTCAACTTAATTCAGAGGTGAATTTGTAAAGTGGATTGCCACAAAGAATTCAAGGCACAACCATAACAAATGGTTTTCCTAAAAGATATGAAATCATTAACATTAGCCATGCCTTATCCCAAATATATGGGGACATGAATCCTGTTTCCCCTATAATCTGTTCAATTTAAAGTCATGCACCCTAGAAAGTA